GTGTGTGTGTGTGTGTGCGTGTACTGTCAAATCGGATCTGACTGGTACAGGAGGAGATTGTCCCTCCTTTCCCGGCAGAGCATCTGGTGGATTTGAACCATGCGCCTTGGGATTGCAGCGCAGCTTTAAAAAATTTTCTACATCTATCCTTCCCACCACCCCCTGGCAAGTAGTGTGGCCTCTCCACCAACTCCAGTTCTGAAATTGCTTTCCTGTGAAGCCACCAAGGACTCCTGGTATTTAATCCAATAGACACTTTTTTTTTTAGGAAAAACTAGTAAAGATAGATTTCTTAGAAAGTCACATCACCAAAGGGATGGACCTCCCTCCTTGAAAGGAAATGCAGAGAGGCAGGACATTCATAGTTGTTGATATCTTTCGCAGCGTGGCTGTATCATGCTCATCCTGGAAGCACCCTGTACCCTGGCTCTGCATGTTCTCCTGGTTCTCCTCCTATGTCTCTGATGCTCCATCCCTACTCCTCCTCCTGCATTGCTCAAACCTTCACAGCTGAGATGTTTGGACTCAGCCTAGGCCTTGTTCTCTTTACTCTCAAGGCTTCAAGCACTGTCTCTATCTGAGTAGCTACTAAATCTATAACTCCAGTGCAAATTCTCTCCTGAATTTTAGGCCCACCTAACCAACTTCCTCATAGGAAACATCCACATGAATATCTGTCCCACACACAGGAGACTCAAACTTAAACCCATCCAACTCAAAGTAGATCTCCACTCCACCCTATCCGAAACTCCACAACTTCTACCTTCTCCCTAATTCTCCTCATCCAACCACCACTAAACATGGGGACCCCACCTCCTCAACTACTCTCAAGTGCACTCACCTGTCCATTCCCACTATCACCTCTTAGCTCAGGCCGGGCCACCTCCCCTGTCCCTGATCCAACTTTGGCCTTCCTGCTTCAATTCACCCCAGCAGTCACATTTCTTCCGTGCTTAAAATCCACAGGAGGCTTCCCACTGACTTAGAACTGACCTGAATGCCACGTCCACAACACGGCTCACTAGGCTAGTCAGCTGATGTTGTCCTACCACCTGTCTGCTGCCCTGTGCTGTGTGCCAGCTGGTCTGTCTGTCCCCAGAGGCACACACTGTTCCCTGCTTCTGTGTTCATCAGGGAACTCATGCTCCCGGCCTCAGCCTGGTCATGCCCTTCCCCAAGACGTCTTCCCTCTAGCCTCCTGCCAGCCCAGCAGCCCCATCTATGTGCTGAGAACCCTGTCCGTTTTCCAACCTGGCTCTTTTCTTGCTAAGTTGTCACCACCATTTCCTAGACTCCAAGTTCCATAAGGCACTTTACTGCTGCACCTGGAGTGCCTAGGGCCATGCCTGGCTTATAGTTAATACCTGTAGATTTACTAGATTTAATACCTTGAAGAATGGAGCCCCTGTGTAGTTGGCCAGCAGCCCTTCCCACCCTATTCAGTGGCCAGTACACAGCAGGCCCGGGTTTGGTGTCCAGACTGACCTTCTGGCCCTCCCTGGCATGGGAAGCCCAACAGACAGCAGCACCCTGGGCTCCCTGCCATCCCTCCCCTGTGATAGTGTTATTCTGACCCAACTCCCAGAAGAAACAGGCTGGACTGTTTCCTCACTGAAGACATGAAGTAATCAAAACATAGGCACACGACCCAGCTATGGGCAACTTCCCCAGCACAACAGTTGCCTAATGTGGTCAGAGCTGACCCTGCTGGGGACACCCAGAGGAATCCAGGGCACCAATGACAACAAGAGAAGCAACAACACACAGCACACAACCACCTCTACACTGCACCCACTGATTGATACTCAAGAGGGTTGATTAATTCCCCTGGGGTCACTTGGCCAGGGAGGGAAAATGCTGAGTTGGAGCCACACTCTCTTGTTGCTAAAGCCTGTCCTGCTGCTAAAACCTGGATATTCTGTATGTCCAGGAGTCGAGGCTAAGCCCACTAAGGGGCTATCCCAGTCCAGCCTAGAACCAGGCTAAATCCAGGTTCTGTCATCCGTTCTTCTGGGCCAGCACAAAAGGAAGAGCAGCTAAGGACAGGCAGTGGGAGAAGTGAACAAGCAGTAGCCTGAGGGCATACTGGCAGCTCCTTCTCCTGTGAGCAGATGCCCGGCAGATCAGGGTAATGGAGAAGACACAGAAGGCAACAGTAAGTGCTTGGACGCACTTCCTAAGGCAAAAGGCTGCCAGGCCACAGCTTCCTGCCATAAGCTATCCTTATTGCACCAGAAATTGTTGCTGCCCTATTCCAAGCCACGTGTTCCTTGAGCAGGGAAGCCAGGGGTTTGAGCTAGCTGTCAGGAAAGGGCAGCAGCTGTGGAGGGAGTTGGTCTGAGTTTTGAGATTGCAGCCTCCTCAGGATAGCTGGGGACAACAGGCTGCATGCAGGGTCCCGAGCCTGGACCCTTCTCACAGGGTTGCAAGCACGACTACATGGACTGACTTCTGCATGACTCTGGGAGCACTGTTCACAGGCATGGCTAACCTGGTGGTCCTGCTTGCTTAACAGCCCCTCCTTGGGAAGGGAAGTAGAGGAAAAAAGAGCCCTATTCACCTAGGAACCTTCCTGGGCTTCACCACCTCCAACATTCACACCTCACCCTCCAAGAAAGAACCACATGTAATATAGTGCAGACAGTAAGAGATCATTTTATGGACACGGTATGAAACATAGACTGGAAAGGCACAAGGTATGTGATGAGAGATTCTCCGGAACAGACCAACAGTCAGGAGTGGCCTGGACCGAGGGACAATGTCAAAGGGGAAGAGGCTTTGGCTCAGCCACAACAGTTATGTCTGGGTACCAGATCCAACTCAGCTCCAGAAACATAGGGGGTGTGAACTAGCAAGACCTTCAGTCCTTGGAGTGTAGGAGGCTCGCCTGACTCCCTGCAGTCCATCACTCAGTGGGCTGGGACCTCAGGGAGACGACAGTTCAGGGGATAGGGAATGGTTGGTCTGGGTGGCCAGAGGGTCAAGGCTCTCAGATTTCCTTGGAGGAGACCCTATCTGGGTGGGATGGGGTTAGCAGCAGCACTAGGGGGAGTATGTTCTGGGTTGGGGCCACCGCTCAGCAGGGCCTCTGAGTCCAGGGCAGGCCCCCCACCTGCCCACTACACCAACATGGTGCAATAAATTAAACTTCAAGTAATAAGTCAGTGTCAAGCAGGAGAGTTGGAGGCTGGCAGGTGAGTGGAAGCTTAAGGGAGGAAAATTTCCCAGCTGCCCACTCTGTCCTCTCACTCTCAGAGGGCTCCATTTATACCAAGTCTGTGTGCACTGAGGGGAGAGTTGGTCCCAATGTTCATAGAGGACCCCCTGCAGGGGCTTGGCCCCTCAGACTAGTGCCAGAGCCTGCTCAGTGGGGCAGAAGCAGGGCAGCATGGTGCCCACAGCATCCACGATAGCAGCCAAGTGCTCATCCTGTGCCTGAGGCCCACAGAGCTGCATGAAGTCTGCCAGGCACAACAAGTACTCCAGGATGTGGCCCGAGAAGCCGCGGCAGGCCAGGATCTGAGTGGCGATGGCCTCCTCAGGCGCAGGACCCAGGTAGCCAGGGTTCTGTGGGGTGGCCACATAAGCCAGTGCCTTGAGTGGCTTGTCAGGGGTGTCTTGGGGGTAGAAGGTGACTTCCTTGGTGTCATAACCGCCGAGCACTGCCTCGCGAACGTTCAGGTACTTCAAGGCCTCGCTCACCTGCTCACCTTGAACCTGGTATGCCACACCCCACGTGCAACCCTGGAAGAAAAAAGAGACACCTGGGGTCAGTCAGGATAGCTCCTTGCAGGTCCCTCCCTCATTTCAGGTGGCTGTGACCCACCCCAGGATAGTGGTCTTTAAAGGAGGAAGGTTGATGATCCATCTAGTAACAGCATCAAGACTCAAACTCACTACATCATAGCTGATCCTCCAGAGGGTTTCTGAGGGTGTGAATCGCACAGGAGGAGATTGGCCATCTTCCTCCTGAGGAGCCGCTAGTGGATTTGAACCCCCAGAGAGGAACAGTCTTTAGGTTAACCGTGCAACTCCCTACAGACTACAACACCTAACTTCTCTTATCAGACCCTTTTTTCCTCCTTTTTAGGAAGGGTTGTCAAGATCAACTAAGTCTCAGGAGGCAGAATTTCTTTGTTATTATCTTCTAGCAACAATTACAATAAGCTTGTTATATATGAGGGGTCTTAAACTCCACCCTAATCCTAGTGAATCAAATAATCTGAACAAGATTTAGGTGAAAAGCATTACCCTAGACCAACCTTATCTTTTGCCTTAGAAGAACCTGACCTAGTCTGCAACAAGGGCCCCGAGGTCTATGGATCTATGCTCCAAGGGGGACCTTGGGGTCACTCTCTTGATTCAGACACTTACCTCATGGTCTTCAAGGAGGGTCACCACACGTCCAGGCTAGAGAAAGAAGATATTTTTTAAAAAGACAAGTTAGAAATCGCCTCTATCAACAACAGAAGAAACTTGCCAACACTAACACCCTAGGCCTCAGAGAGGTACACTGGGCAACCTAAGCAACCCCTCATGCAGGGGGAGATGGGGGCCTTAGTGCACAGTGGCAGGTGAAAGAGACTCCAGGCATCACTGATTACCTTCCTCAATCTGAGCCTGGAGGGCGCTGACAGCCTGGCCCCACCTTCATCACTCCCCGGGGCATGGTCTGATGCTCACCATCTTGTCACTACCCCTATGGAAGGTGTCTCCCTGCCAGAAGCGGCGGCTGTATCCACGCACGAAGCCTACACGACTGTCACTATAGGCAAAGTCAGGCCTCCATACGAGAGAGCCATAGCCGAAAATCCACAGCGCTGGAGGATCGCTGTGATCCTGGGAAAGCTGCGCAGATCGCTCTGAAGAAGGTGAGGCTGGTGGAATGCTCGGGGATACGGACTCTTGCTTCATGGTGCCGGGCGCAGGGACGGGACCGGTCGGCCTTCGAAGCTGGTCTCCGGCAAGAGCACAGGCGGACCGACGGACGCGTACACCTGGCCTGGCACCGCTCCGTCGTTCCAGCTGAGCTGGCTCCCAAAGGAGGAGCCCTTTAAACCCTCCGGCTCGGAGGCCCCGCCCATCGCGGCCAGTTGCCGCGGTGATTGGGGCGGGTCAAAAGATCTTTCGACCAATTAGCTCTGAGTTTTGCTACCCGGTAAATCGCGCCGTCCTCTGAGTGGACAACTGCGTGGATCCAGAGCGCCTGTCGATTGGTTGAGCTCCCACTCTTTAGCAAACCCTTCTGAACTGATGCAACGCCGGGGGTGGTTTCTCCAGCGCCGGCATGCAGCAAGGGCTCGTCGGATTGCGTCAGGCAGTGGGTCGGAGGCAAAAGGCCAGGACCTGCAGACCCTGGCGTCTGCCCGACAGCCCCTCCGTGGGTTGGGCCCTGCAGGAGGCAGAGAGGACGAGCCTGAAGGTTCTCTCCCTTGCAGCCCTGTCCACGCACCGGTGGAATCCCCGCAACCCCAGGCAGCAAAGACTCAGTCCTCCGGCCTGCGGAGGGCGAGTCCAGAAGGAGCGCCTTGGGCGGTGTGAATGCCAGTTCTGGGAACCACGCACTGCGGGGGGAGCTGGTCCGAGGCACTCTCCGCATTCCCCTCAGGTGTATCACGCCGTTGGCTCGAATGAGCAAATGGAGAAACTGAGTCACGAGGTCAGCAACTTAGGCTACGAGGCTGAGTCAGGCTTGGTGCCCGAATTTGCGGGCTCTCAGAGCACGTGAGGGCTGCACGTCAGGTGCGGGACCCCGTAAGCTCAGGCTCTCTTGGGCGGTAGTGGCCAGACCTGCGGGGAAAAGCTATAACTGAAACGCGATGTGTCTGGTTCTGAATTCTGACGCGATTTTGAAGTTTTTGCACCAATGGTATAGTTAGGGTTTTTTGTTTCTCTCTCTCTCTCTCTCTCTCTCTCTGTGTGTGTGTGTGTGTGTGTGTCTCCTCCTCCCTCTCTCTCTCTCCCTCCCTCTCTCCTCTCTCTCTCTTGCTCTCTCTCTCCTCCTCTCTCTCTCTTGCTCTCTCTGGTTCAGGGTGGTATGGCCATATACATGGCCTAGTTAGTTTTGAGGCACTACATACAAAGAGGTGACCTAAAGAGTGCCATGGGGATACCTCCTGGGGACGCCTCTTGCTGGAAAAGGGATGCTGAAAAAAAAAAATCCTTCTCACAAACTGACTTGACTGCCGGGGAGCCCTCTGGAAAAAGAAAAGGGCACTATCGTGTCTTGTTCCTTTCTAATTAGATATTTAAACTAAAAATCACCGGCACACTTTTAAATCCTCATCCCAAAGGTATCTCTCCCAGGGAATATATTGCTCAACAGTGTGTACACTATGAAGGTATTTCTTTAAAAACAAAACCCAGTAGTAATTTACTAGTAGTAATTGGAGGGGGGAAAAATACCTGACTAAATATACCTAAACTGTTAGCAGTAGACGTCACTAGAGGAAGACTTCTAGTATTAAATATATGAACAGCCATTCTGAAACCTGCCCTATCCTGTGCCATCCTTATCTCTGAGACACTAAGAGCCCATTGCTGAAGTCACAGTGTCAATCCATCTCATTGGAGGTCTTCCTCTCCTTTCCTAATCCTCCAACTTTCCAAGCATAATGTCCCTTTCTGAGAAACAGCCTTACCTAGCTACATGTTCAAAGTAAGAAAGACTTCATCATCTTTGCCTCCAAAGAGCAGGATATACCTGTATGTTCTTTTGGCAGTCCAAGAGATGGGAGCTGGATATTCATTACTCTTCTAGTCATTCTTTTTCCTTCCACTTCCCATATTCTCCCTCATATCTTTTCTTCTCTCTATTGTGCCCCCATTTCATTCATGTGAGTTTCTCCTTTGCTGCTAGTTTCTTAGGAAGACTGTTCGCATCTCCATTGCTTTTGGGTGGTTATGGGCAGGGGAGGGTGGCAGAGAATTGGAACAGACATATTACTGGAATTATTTGAATTTACACAAGCAACCTTTTGATAAAGTAGCTGAGTGAAACAATTTAAGGATCAAAAACTGTCCTTGCCCTTTGATCCATACTCCCAGAATTATTTAAAATATGGGGAAAACCACATGTCTAAAGATTTTCAATGCATTATTATAGCAAAAGCAAATTTAAAAAAGTAATAAACCAAAAAATAACTAAACTATTGTCAACCACATAGTGGCAAAATACACATACCAAAAAACTCCATTTAAATATCCAACAAAAAATTGGTTGAGAGCACTTGAATCTGACATGCTTACATTTGGCCGTCCCTGGCACAACAATTGGTCTCTTATTCACTTGGAACAACAAGGAAGAAGACTCAGGAATAGAAGAGGGATATGGATTGTGTGGCCGATTGTCACCATGACCAACTGCCTCAACTCCTTGAGACCAGAAAGAAGTAGATAGTGCCTGGCTACTATTATAAAACATTTGATAAAAAAAAATTCCTAATAAAATATCCTGATTAAAAGAGAGCTAAATGAGGATCAGAACTTCAAATTTTAACAAACTCTAGACTCTGGAAAAATGAAGGGTGGATGAACTCTTGAAATTATTGCCCAGAAAAAGTCTTTAATCATTGAACCAACAGGTCCCACACATCCTTCTAGAAACATGTCTCTCTTACCTTTACTTGTTAACAATACTTACCTCCTTCCCTCCCAGGCTGATTTTCTCTGAAATATTACAGCAAATGAATCTTATTGTTACTTTTAAACTCCCCTCCCCTCAGGGCTGGGCTGAAGATGTCTCTCACTCAGCAGAGGTAATGGGCTTGTACATCACCTCCACCCTGCAGAGCTACACATGATTTGCACATGATGTCTACCTGGTGGCTTCCTTTTTTGGACCTGTCCTAAATTAATCTTTCCTTATTGTTCTGCTGCAGGCAGTCACTTCTCATTTCCTTATGATCTATCTGTTCCTTCTCACTTCTCATGCCAGACACCATAATCATCTCTCAATGTTAGTGGGCATGATTATCTGAAACAAGGAAATAGTGTGTTTTCAGAGCTAGGGAATTTTGCTAATTTATTATGCTAAGGATGATGTGTTCTTGATGTTGAGGTGTAAGCCAGACTGAAAACGATAGTCTTTAACCTTCTCCCATAAGTGCTTCTAGTCCTATTGACTCTCAGCAAGTAAGGTTGTATCATCTGCATATCAGAGATTGTTGGTGAGTCTTCCTCCAATCCTGACACCACATTCTTCTTCATATAGTTCAGCTTCTGGGATTATTTGCTCAATATACGGATTGAATAGATACAGTGAAAGACTACAACCCTGAAGCACACTTGTCTTGACTTTTAAGACATGCTGCATAAGGAAGGGACAGACCTTGAAAAAGAACATGCTTGGAAAAGCAGAGGCTCAGTGAAAGAGAGGAAGACTTTCAAAGCAACAATGAGCAAAGACAGTGAGGATGGCACAGGACAAGGTTTTTCCTAAAGCTGCTGATTCCAGAGAGATGAAAAACCCTCCCAGACACTGTGCCAATCTATCTTCTTGAAGGTCTTTCTCTTTTTCTTTGATCCTCTCTCTACCTTTCCCAGTATGATCACTCTCTCCAAGGCCTGATTCCTCCAGAAAATATGCCTAAAGTAAATGAGATGATGTTTCTCCATTCTTACTTCTAAGGAGCCCTCTGGTTGTACTTCTTTAATGACAGATTTGTTTGTTCTTTCTGCATATTCACTACTCTTCCCCAACACCACAATTCAAAGGCATCACTTCGTCAGTCTTCCGTATTCATTGTCCAACTTTCTGATGCATAAGAAGCAATTGAAGCAATTGAAAATACCAAGGTTTGTATCAGGTGCACCTTAGTCTTTCCCCCCTCCCCCCCAGGGTCTAGAAACCACTTTAAAATACTTTATTTTTTTTTAATAATTTTAATGAACATTTACAGAGAATTTGGATTTCCATTCATTCACTGCTGCACTTCTCTACCTGCCCAGCCCTCTCCCCACATCCCCCCAGTTCGCTCCTCTCTTTCAAAACTAAAAGAAAGACTCCCTCACTGGTACATAATCCCCCCATACCCCTCCCATCGCCCCAAGTACATTCCTCTATGCAACCTTTACCTTAGTCTTTAAACTGCCATTTTTGCTCTTTATAATTTTAGATGGGTCCTAACTATTGATTTCCGGTCCATTTTACTCTAGACTTCTTCTCATTTTCTCATTTTACCAGGACACATTTAAGATAGAAAATAACAGATTAAGCAAGCAAGGGAGCAGACACAAATGAGGAGACGATGCAAGGTGTGTAATTACCAAGGAACTCGGGAATATAAGATTGAAAGAGACCAAGACCATGCCTAGTTCAGACAGGGAGAGAAAGTCAATACCAGTCTCCTGAACTGTGAATAAGTAAGAAAAAGCCACCATCACAGGGAGTTGCTGCTGACCCAGAAGCTGAGCCTTTCGGGTGGTTTGGATTCACCAGCAGCAACTCTAGAGAAAAATGGGCTGTCTCCTCCTGTGTGCCTCGGACACCCAGTGGACGGTCAGCTAAGACTCATTCAGTTTTGGATTGATGCCAATGAGGTTTTCAGGTTTGTTTTTTTTTTTAAAAATAAAAATTTTACTTTATATTGGTTTACTTACAAAGTTTATATACGTTATACATTGTTTTTCACACCAGATCCTTCCCATTTCCTTCAGCCACCCGTCAAATTATGTAACTCTATAATTAACCATCAGGATTGGTGGAAGATCCATCAACAATCAGCATTATGCAGATGACACAACCCTGCTTGCCGAAACTGAGGAGGACCTGAAGCAAAGGACTGCAGCTTTTAATATGGATTGAGGTTCAATTTCAAGAAGACAAAGATTCTCACCACTGGAACAAGTGGCAGCATCAGGATGGATGGCGAAGAGATTGAGATTGTTCACAGCTTTAGTTTGCTTGGCTCCACAGTCAACACTCTTGGCACAAGCAACCAGGAAATTAAAAGATGTATTGCAATGGGAAAGTCTGCTGTTAGGGACCTCTCCAAAGTAATGAAGAGCAATGGTGTCACTCT